ACAACAAAAGGATGGACCCCTAGGGTTGAGGAACTGATACTTTCATTATCAAAGACAACTCTGTAGGCATTAAGATCATGGTAAAGAGTACGCCCTTTGCTTGTGCAATATTCCAGCGCTTGTGCAAGGTATAAAGCAACTCTTAATCGCATTGCCCACTTCATAGGTTGTGTTTCCCCTGAGATCACATAGAAATGAAGCAAATAATAAACAAACAAATGGCTGACAACTAAATGAAAATGAGTTTGGTAACCGAAGAAGGAAAATCTTGTAAATCGAGATGGGTGTTAATCCAAGCAAAAGGGAAACAAACTGTATTGTGTTGATTTATGTGCCTACATACTTTTCTTCACTCAGTGAAATTGGGGCCAAAATCTTCCTGTTCATAAAACTACTGACACTTAACTAGACCTATCAGCTAGAAAAATTCTATTTCAAATTGAAATAAACTATGATACACTCACTGGAACGAAACTAGTAGATTAAAAAGAAAGAGTTACATCTTTCCAGTATTCAAAGAACAAACGAAATTCGAATACTCTTAAGCCAAATACTAATCATTTTGTACTTCGTACAGGCTTTTAAATGATATTTAATAAAGTTAATCATATTATAGCATTTGCTCACTGGTAGATTATCTGAACTTGAACCAGCCACCAAATAATGCAAAAAAGTGTACTTACAGTGAAATAGATGTTTGGCAAGAGTCTCATTGGGCATAAATTCAGCAACCAGTAACCTCTCCTCGCCTTCACAGCAGCATCCAAGTAAATTTGCCAATCTGTAGTTTCGAAGTTGACCAACAGCTCTAGCCTCTTCCTGAATTTTATCAAGTAATGTTCAACAAAAGTAAGTATACAGAATTGCGTAGAATTTTCGAGATAATTGAAATAACAAATGAGGGGTGAGATAAAGAAAACTAAAAATTTCAAAAAAAAAAAATAAAAAATAAATAAATAACAAAATAAATAATTAGAAATCTGAAATATCTAGCATATATGGAGAACAATATACCATGAACTGACGGGCATCAGGCCAAGCAGATCTGTTAAAACGCTTGACAGCAATACGTTTCTGATTTTCCAGTTTCCCTTTATAAACCACATTGGGAGCTTTCTCCCCATGTTCTGAAACTATGTTTTCTACAGCAAACCCAGATGTAGCCATTCTCAGTTGTTCAATTGAAAATTCGCGAAATGCAGGTACATCGCTGGCTTCGCTTTTCTCCTCAGTCTCTGAAATAATCAAAGTAAATAACACATCAAATTTGCCTGATTGGGTAGATAATAATTAAACTTGGGAAAAATGAGGTTATGTAGACCAACCAGTATTATTTGTTTCATGATCTGGTCCATTATGCTCCGAGATACAACAACAAGATGACAATTTCGAACAGAAACAACCCATTCTGATACGACACGTCAGACTCGAACAAAAATTGAATCTTCAAACCCCCACGATGTCTAGCCAACAATTTCCTTAGCTCAGAGATGACACATCTGCTTTCATACACCAATTAAACATTGTAATTACACTCCATATGGTTTGGATGCCTAAACTAGCAAATGGTGATTCAGTTGCTTTAAACATCAAAGAATAACAATGGAAAAGATCCACCTCTACTAAAATTTAAAGAAAACACCTAAGCAATCCAACGACGCAAGTTCCAGACCCCAACCAGTTGGGAATATACTGGGTATGTTGTTGTTGTTGTTGTTGCTATTGGACGCATTAAAAACTACAGGTGTGAAAGATGAGGTAATAATCCATGTAGAAAACCAAATTTAACTTATATGTTCGGAACATCGCAGCATAAAGCCATACCATAGTATATTTCGAAATTTCGAGGGATACTGCGCTATAAGGAAAGGTCATTCAATTTGAAAAAAAAAGTTCAGAAAAATGGTAAGTTATTACAGCGCAGCACACAACTGAACCAATATTCTGCAAGCAAGAGATGCAGACACAAACTACTTCAGTCCGATTTTCCCGAATGACTAAGGGTATGTCATGTACCAAAATAACCCAGAAACCAAGATTAGGGACAGCACACGCCCACAACAAAAGTAGCCCTACACAAAATCACTACATTTTAATCTGCTTCTATAGAGAAATCGACAAAAGCCGAGCATTTTATCATTACAGACGATTAAATATGCATAGCTAACAATTTGAACTTCAGCAGAGTTGCATTTACCAACGATTCAAATCTTAGTCAACTCCGAGGCACAAAATCAGCACCTTCTGAATCCAAAGTTTCCAACTTTCTAGCAGCACCTCCCAAGAAAACCTTCTTTTCCACCGGTATTAGCTTAGTAACTTCACCAAACACTGACAAATACACTTGGTGAATCAAAAGTCAATGTCCCACAAATCAATAAATTCACCAGAACTCAGTAACCCCTAATAAAAAAAATATCTGTGGAAAACCCAAATATCAGAACACAAAAATAAACAAAACCCAGTTTCTCTAAAAAAAAAAAAAAAAAATCAAGAAAGTGGAATTTGACAAATAAGAAGCAGCAGAGATAAAGAACCTTAAAAGGGGTTTCTTGACTAACCTTTGATTGGGTCAAAGCACAACGTGAGAGCTGTTTGATGCTATCCTTTGTTTGTGTATTTTGTTTTTGTGTATATGCATGTGTTTGTAGAGTGGCTTGAGTAGAGTCTCAAAAAAGAGAGATCAAAAACAGAGAAATGATTCAGGGGCCATATGTATAGACAGGTTATAACTAGTACAAATATATAGATATGATATAGATACAGATATGCACTTATGTATCTGTGTACTTGTTCTGTGTGTCTCTGTGTGTCTGTGTGTGTGTAAATGTTTACAATGTTAGATCTATTTTAAGGGTGTAGGGTGTAATTTGTACCAAGGAGAGTTTGTGGTTTGCTCTGCCTTATTTCTTCCTATTTTCCAAATCCCACCGACATAATATGCATTATTGTCATTTTTTTCCCTGTTTCTCCAAGTTTTCGTAATAATGTTTATGTTATTATTAAAAAACTCAGGCTGAAATATTTTTATTTATTATTATTTTACTAATATTATATTTTTATGTCAAGTGTGCTTCTTCCGTAAACATCGCCACGGGTCGGCCAGGCCCGTGGTCGCCCGGCCCGTAGGTTGTCGGTTCCGAGAACTGTCACCGTAGCTTTACGGGCCATGTCCGGGTCCAGTTTTTCTATTTTTGGTCCAAGCGGGCCAAATCGGGTAGGAATTGGGTCGGGACTGGGCCGATACAGGGCTGGTTCACGGGCCCGACCTTTGGTTTTTTACAGGCCGGTTAAGGATCATTTATGGGAGGCCCGTCGGCCCAGCCCGTTGACTGGCTATCTCTATTCTTCCGTTCATTTTCCTTTCGTTGTACCAAAATTGTTATAATGATGTGTTTCTTATATTACATGAAGATCTTAAAAAAATAAATAAAAAAATAAACTCAGTGTCAGTCTTTTTTTTCTATTAATGTGCAATATGAAAGAAAAAATGGCTAATCATCCTTTACATGCTATTGATTCTTTTTTTTTTCATATTGAAAAGCATATTTAATCAAATGTAACGGCTTGATGTCGGAATTTATTTCATACTCGGCTAAAAACTACAAACAACAGGCAACGGGGTTTCGTTCCCCTCGCGGTGTTACGTTGTATCGAGACCGGTGATTCCAGACTAAGACTTTTTACCATTTACTTTTAGAGAGTGAGATTGCGAGGAGAGTGTGTGAGCATTTTACCACATATACTTATATACATCTACCCACTACAAATAGTTTCCTTGTACTCCTCAGTTTTTTTCTCACAGCACATACACTTTAGACACGTGGACTTCATCATTCCTTATATGATTTTGTGGTCATCTAGACAAAGAGAAATAGTACGAAGCATAGAGCTATTACTTTTAGTGCTCTCACATTGTTTAGCAGGTTGATCGATATCTATCCCTCCTCACAACTCTGGGCAGACTCACACCTAGAGACTGGACAGGCTGCACGTCGCCCACTGCTTCATGTCGTCTCCAAGTCCTACACCCACGCCCTAGAGTCGTTGTTTGGGTGGGACCCGACTCCCCTTGGGTTAAGCTGAACACTGACGAATCTTTCGACCGACTAGCCAGGGTCGTCAGAGACGGGGGCCTAATTAGGGATCACATGGGAGCTCTCATTACTGCCTTCCACGCCCCTCTTCAGGCCTCCTCGAGCTACGATGTGGAGGTTCAAGAGTTCCAGATCGGTCTTCAAATTACAGCCTCTATCTCTACTCACATTTGGATTGAGTTGGATGTTGCCGTTGTCGCCACCCTCTTGACCTCGGGCCACCAGGGCTCATGACAGATTCAACACTCGCTCATGCGCATAAGATCACACTTCAATCGATTCGCTACTGGATCTCGCACATCTTTCGCGAGGGGAACCGACCCACTGACTACCTGGCTAGCCTTGGTGCCTCCACTCCTCAGAGGCGCACTTTCCACATGGACGACGCCCCTCTCATCCTCCGCACTCTTGTGCGGATGGAACAGGTCGGATATCCCTCGTTCAGGTTTAAGTAGTCGGTTTGTATTTTTTGTGTTTTAGCCTACTTTGTGGTGCAGACTGCTCGCTTGGGCACATGTTAGCTCAGGTTCAGACTTTCCGTTTTGGTTGTTGTTTATTCCTTTACCATTTTTGTTTTTGTTTGTTGTTTGGACATTGTAGACCTGCGATTTTTTCGGTCCATTTAGGGTCTTGACTATATACAAGTTGGACATCCGACTTTAATTCCTCACCCTTCGATGTATTTCTCCATTCAAAAAAA